CTAATTAGGCTTGTTATACAGTCATGCACCACCTGACGCGTTATGTGGCAAAACATGCCATGAGACAGTTTTATGGAACATCATGGAGTATATTTACCCACCAAAATCTAGAAGTAATGCTAAAACTTCTTTTGGTTATATCTGTATGGATATATGTTGTTATTATGTGTTTCAAAAACTGTATAAAATTTCTAAAAATTTGATACATAATGATATCCGTCATAATTCTGGGTATCATCTTAAAAATGTGTGTCACAGAAATAATTATCTTGTCAATTGAATTATAATGAACTCACATCAGATCTTGAAACATGGCCATTTTTGTCATTTACAGACAGTTACTGTTTTACTTTGATGCTTTTGCAAAAGTGTTCCTGCAAAAGTGCTATGTTTTCAAGGAGACTCTAACAAGTACAGGGTTCTCATAACCTTCAGATCATATCCCTGAACTGGGTAAGAATCTGCAGACCTCTGGTGGAGAACCCGATGGCTTCCTAAAACTGCTAACCAAAAAGCAAGATCAACAGGAATTAAATTACATGGGACTCCATGAGTTAATGAGGATGATTATAACATTGTTGGTTCTTTTGTTTTCCCCCCAGATTTAAGGAAACCTTCTTTTAAGCTATCAATAAATTGGTAAAAAATATCTTTGTAAACAGATTAACATATGCAACTAAATTTGTTTTTCTAATCTATCTAATGTAAATTTAATTATGTACTAGACCAAGTTTTTCTGCAGATTCTTACCCAGTTCAATGTTATGATCTGAAGGTTGTCAGAAACCTGTACTTGTTAGTCTCCTTGAAAATATAGTGCTCCCTACCTGAGCCCTCCAGAATTCCCAGAATTCAGAAACTCTTAGTGAATATTCTTACAATGTAGTTATTTGCATAAGTTCAACAAGATTCTTTTCTCCTTGTAACAGACACAGTTAGAAACACTGATTATACTCTGAAGGCTTGAACTGGAATATATATTTGAGAATGCACATAGAAGGAACTAAGGTTCACTTTATGGAGCCAATGAAACACCTTGGAAAACCAGCCTGGTACCTGCTTACAGGGTTCCCAGCTAGCAGCTTTGCCAGGTGAGTAAAGAACATCACTTCCTGCCCTAACGAGTTTGGCTCAGTGGATAGAGCATCAGCCTGCGGACTGAAGGGTCCCAGGTCGATTCCGGTCAAGGGCATGTACCTTGGTTGTGGGCACCTCCACAGTAGGGAGTGTGACGGAAGCAGCTGAATCGATGTTTCTAACTATCTCTCTTCCTCTCTGTAAAAAATCAATAAAATAAAAAGAAAAGAACATAACTTCCTGGCAGATGTAGAAACCTCAGGATATCTTGGGAACCTCAAGAGGCTTTGAAAAGTTCCAATAAAGCAGATACACAAGAGCATATATAGACGATCACTACTCCTGCTGCACTATGTAAATAATCGGGCCAAGTTTATTGAAACTACACTTAATGTGCACACAGATTAGTCTCACTGTGGTTACCTTTGCTAGAAATGGGGTGAATGTAGAGAGAGGAATTATGTTTCAGTAATACGTCTGCGCAGGTATCGGATTCTAGTGCTGTTAATTGATGTTTTGTCCTGTGTTTGATTACCACACATCTGCTTTCCTTACTTTCCTTCCCCTGTAAATAAAAACTACCCTTTTCCTGAAAACTGAATACAGACAACTTGGTCTAAACTTTCCAGAAATCACAGCAGGATATGCATGAGCAATCTTACTGCCTGTTGCTGTGTGAGCCACTCAGAAAGTTTACCTGAGCAGCCAAACTGCAAAAGATGCTTTCATTTGACACCTAGAAATCTCAACTGGCAGCCCTCAGAATGGAGTTACGGTCTGCTCTAATCATTAACCTTTGTTTTTCTTTTGTTCCCATAGAAATGTATTTGCTTGCCTACACAATATAGGCCTAACTTTAGGAGCAAACCTGTATCACCACCTCCTGCAACCAGAGACACTGTTTAAACAGACCTATTCTCAGCACTAACAGGCTGCTTCAGTGAGCTGGAACCATCTACCCACTCAGCTTTTGGACTATGAAACTTCTTGAGGACTTTTCAAAGGTGGGGACTGAAAGGAACAGAATGTGCCACTTTGGCAGGTGCATCATTTTGAGCTGAAGGGAATCAAGACCCACCAGACTAAGGAGTTTTTACTGCTCCCTTATCTGTCTAGAAGAATTTAGACAGTAGGCCTGTGCTAGAAAGAGAGCTATTACCAAAGGTAACTTGTTTTTTCTGAAAGTCTTATCTGCAAGGCAGGGCAAACATTGATTATCACACATATGCTTTTCTCACCTTCCTTCCCTTTTAAATCCCTGGCTCCTATCCAGTTCCTGAGCTCAGGATAGTACATAAGCCTCAGTTGTCTGTCTTTGAGTCTCTTATTTTTATGGGGCTCCCATAACATGTGCAATTAAATGTTTTTCTGTTAGAATCTATCTTATGTAAATTTAATTATGTACTGGACCAGCAGGAAAAATTTTCTGCCTTTACAATGTACACACACATGCATACCCCGAAGTATTGCAAAATTAAGAGTTGTAACTTCTAAAGAAAGGGAAAAATCTTTTCTTGAGATGAATCATTTACCTACTTTATGGGTCTCAGACTTCTAAGTCACTACAGAGACAATTGCAAGATCCCTCTAACTCCAAATGTGTACGAGTGAGCAACTTGAATGTATTGGAGGAATGTTCTAGAGATTAGTAAAATACACATTATTTTGAAAGTGAAAACAATTTTTTCAAACTACATATTGAAACCATTTTGAGCTTTTAATTTTCCTTTTATTTCTTCAAAGCTCTTAAAATTATATTTGAATTAATGAATGATTTAATCAAAGAATTGGTTAATTAAAATGCATTTTTGACTTCTATACTCCTGAAGTTTATGGGTGTTTAAATGCATAACTACTAAACAAATTTCTGAATTGGTTTTTAAATATTCAAAATATTGGTGATTTTAAATAAGAACTTCAAGAGTTTAAATGTATAACTGTCACTTCTAATAAGATGAATCAGAATCTGTTACTTACAGCTCAGTAAAACTCTTCCAGTCATCTTCAGTAATGGATGGCCTGGTATGACTGAGTGCGGTCAGTAAATGCGACTGACTGATGGCCAGGCTGGTTTTGGCTGGTCCTGGTTGGTGAAGGGAGTCATCCTCCTTAAAATGAAAATGACAAAAAGTTACCTCAGGGACATGATTAAAAAGCAGCAGTCCAAGTGTTATCTCTTTTTGTCAGTGTTTCAGGAGACTTTGTGTCCCTTTTTGATAGGAAGCACACAGCGATTTGACTGATCAGTGAGTTTCAGTCCCTTGTTTATAAATATAGCTCACCTACAAATCAAATAAATGTATATCAAAAAAGGAAATACAATCTTTAAAAGTTTTACAATGATAATGGATGCGGAGAGAAAAGCCATACTCCACTTTGGCTCCGGTATCTGCTCTTGATAACACTGATATCTGCTCTCAGTTGGTCTCTTTGTTCCTGGGTAAGTTCTTGGTAACCGTCTTGTGAAGCTGTTCTGAACACTGGAGGCCGTGAACACAACTGATCTTTCCCAGGAGCATCCTGAGTCATGGAGCTTGGTGCAGACAGGCACAGTGAGCTCTGCAGGGTTAGGTGCAATAATGAGGAGAGAGAAAAAAAGTATGTATTTATCAAAGATAAAGTAAAAAATGTTAAATACTAAAACCTGAAGATGGACAAGCTTATAATTTAATTAACTGAAGCTAAGCAAACTGCTTATCTATAATAATAAAAGCGTAATATGCTAATTAGACCAGATGTCCTTCCGGATGAAGCTGGTGCTGGCAGCCAGGAAGGAAGGCCTACTCTTGCACAAATTTCATGCATCGGGCCTCTAGTATTCTATAAAGTCCATTTATAGCTATATTGTTGAACCGCCAGAGTGAAAACTGCCACAACACAAGGTTCTTTTAACACTTTGTTATTATATCTACCACACTAATGCCCTCAAGATAGATTCCAAATGAGCTTTAGTTTTCAACAAATATATAAGGTTCTGAGACATTTCTATATAGAAGTTAAAAAACAGAAAAACAATTAATGACTAGAATTAAAATAATAGCTCACTCTTCTTAGGAATAAAAATGGATCACTTTTATAGTTTTAAAAACCTGAATTAACACAAATTTATAAAAAACCAAGAAATAGATAACTAAATATCTGTAAAAATGTTATATGTGCCAATAAAGTAACTGCAAGCCACTGTTAATTTGGGGGGAGGGGGGAATGTATTGAATGCTATTTTAATTCAGTAAAACAATGATACTGCCCATATTTAATCTTAACATTTTTCTTGTGGAAACATTACTACTACTCATAACATTTTTATTGTGCTTATACTTTCCACCAAAAGTGTTACAAATAGATACCATTTTGTGGTCAAAAATTTTTGCATTATACCAACTTTCTCCTGATCCTCAAATGCTCTGTAATAATAGAATTTAGATTTAATATAAAATGGATCTGCTACTAAAGATGTCTGAGAACCAGTGATGAAGGGAGATAAACCTGAAAGAAACCAACTGGCTACTTTGGCGCCCACTTGTTGCCAACTCTGTCTTAGTTCTTACCAAGAAATGAAAAATGACTAATTAGTGTAAGGAGAACAAGACTGTTTTACTGAAGAACCAGTCCATCAGAAAGAACATGTGGGGCTGGTTAGGAGACAAATCACTGTCCAACTTGACATCCCAACACTATACGATGACTGTACAACATACCAAATCAGAAGAGGTTCCATTCCCAAGTTCCGATTCATAAGAGCTTCCAAAGTAGAGCCGGTACATATTGAATTTTGACTCATCTGGAAGCATTTCAGACATCTCTAGAGAAACAAGAGACTGCTCTAAGCCATACTCTCCATCCCCAGCTGAATCGTCAGAGCCACTGCTGTGGTTAAGAAAAACCATTGAAGACAGACTTAGGTCACTGTCGGAACTGGAACTTCCATCCTAAAACACAAAAGGGCAAACAGTTGTAAAGATCTAAATAATACTAGTACAATTCAGAAATAAATAACACAATACTTTCTAACAGACCAGTACAAGGAAAGTTGAGGTATTTTTCAAAAAAAGCTCTTATTCTCGAATGGTTCTGAAGACATAATAAAAATTAAACTATTAAAATAAAAAAAGGTAAGATGGAATTGTAGATAATGTGCCAATCACCTCCCCACCACCCTCAACTCTGTAACAAACTTGGGAGTTAGACCTCTGATTTTATTTTTATGTTTCTTTCAATTCAAAATTTTCTACTCTAAAATGACTCAACCATGTTATAGAAGTCTTTACAGATACATACCTTTTAGGATAATAAAAGGGGCAAAATGAAGAGCTTCAGTGGCTTGTCGAAATTAATAACAAAACTTAGTATCTGATTTAGGAACATCAGGCTCTGCAAGTGTCTCCAATAAAATGTAGGGAAGAGGAGTACACAAGAAAACCCTTCCTAGAAAATGTATGATAAAGCCCATAATGTAGCAGAGTTCAAATTATCTGCCATAAAAATCGCTGTCCGTAGAGAACAGGCTGATTTTAGGGCTGGAGTACAGAAAGTACAAGATAAATGAAGAACACTCTGGAGAACACTCTGTTGTATCAGGAAGTTGGAAAAGTGACCAAAGAATGAGAGGACATATCAAAGGGACACAGAAGCCATCCAAAAGCAGTTCCTATTGGCCAGATCTGGGACAATGACCTTCAAAATAAATATACTTTAGTTAAAAAACTAAAAACTGCAATATTTTTCTGACTATATTATCTAATTCATGATATCCTATTTTAAATAATATCCTTCCACACACCAACATATTTTGCCAACAGTAAGGTAAGGTTAACCCGTTAAGCACCCAGCTTAACGTGTTTTGTCTTCCAGATGGAAAGTATAGTGTCAGTCACTGGTGACTGATAGACACTCAACTCTTTCTTCATAATTACAAACTCTCTGCAAAGCCAATATTCCAATGAGGGAACATCTGACTAAAGGTGAATTTCTATCTAGTTTACCAAAGTTGCTAAAAAATAGGAATTTTTTTAAGATTGAGATTTTGATACTGAGCTTCTCTTATCGCTCATAAAACACCTTAGCAACGATCTCAAATAACTTACTGGGAGTCCACAGGACAGCAGCCGTCCGTGCAAGGCCTCTAGCTGGGCATTGTACAGTAAAGCTTTCAGATCAGCCCCCGTAAAAGAGTCAGTTACGGAGGCCACATGCTGCAGGTCCACGTCATCTGCCAGAGGTAGAGGGCCACTGAGAACGTTTAAAATTTCAAGACGTGACACCTAAAGGGAGAAAAACTGATTTAACCAAAAAGGCAAAATTAAATATTAAACTCTGTATCTCACCATTTTTAATAAATTAACTTTACATATCTAATAAATGTACCACCAGTCTACTATTTATCCTCCTTAGAACTTTTCCCTAACAGAAGGAACAAAGGGAGGAAAATGAACAAAAACATTCTTAACTATTCAGTGTAAATCATTTCTTATTCAGACAGTGCTTATTTTCTAGACCGGCAAATGTGCTCAGAAAGCGTTTCAAAAGGAAAATTAAAATAATTTAAATAGCTACATGTGATAAAGTTAGGTATTTTATACCTTTGTCTTATTTTTTATCTTTGGCTAGTTTATAAACTTGGGAACAAGACTTGATACACAGGACTAAGAACAGTTAAAAATCATATCTTTGCCAAAACCGGTTTGGCTCAGTGGATAGAGCATCGGCCTGCGGACTGAAAGGTCCCAGGTTCGATTCCGGTCAAGGGCATGTACCTGGGCTGTGGGCACATCCCCGGTGGGAGATGTGCAGGAGGCGACTGATCGATGGTTCTCTCTCATCGATGTTTCTTACTCTCTATCTCTCTCCCTTCCTCTCTGTAAAAAATCAATAAAATATATTTAATAAAAATAAAAAAAATCATATCTTTATGTACCGTCATATGCTTGAGAGTCTTTTGCTGGGATAATGAAACGTGTGATCTTTAAACACAGCAAATGGGGACATGCAATACTTGAGGTTTCCTTCCTTTTACCCCAACTGGCCAACACTGACGATCATACAGTTTTCACACTTGCATGGAAATGGCTGGGCCAAAGAGAAGCTTCGTATCTAATTCAGAATCTTTTCATGCTTTGAGCAAACAGTGACTACGACCTTTGCCTAAAGCTGGTTTTCTGAGGACAACTGCCA